CTAGCATGAGAAATAAATAAGCTTTTCATGATACACCATTTCTTCAGCGCTGTATTTCTGTCAACTTACCCCGTATATGTGTTTTACTAAAACAGAAAATTAAGGTCGAAATTTAGTTGTTGAGTTGTAAGCCGGAACTTCTCGATAGTGTTACGGTAACTGCAGTCAATGTTTTAAGGTGATATCAATTGTATGGCAGTCTGTTGGTTTTTACCGCCATCGTCATTCACCCTATATCAATACGTGTCTGTATATACAAAATGCTAGAAAGAGAATAATCCAGAAAAAGATATCGGTGCGTGGAGTCGAACGCCCAACCTTTTGCTTCGGAGCGCGCGGCATTAGCCACTGAGCCACAAAGGAGCACCTCATTCGACTTTCAGATGGCAAGCTATTTATACCTGCCACTTACCGCCGGCAGTGCCAATTTCAGGGGAAATATCAGCGTGTTTTCGGCATTACCAACATGATGACGCAGTGAGCCCGCTCGGCGCCCAGCTTGTCACGATGCGCCTACGCGCGCTCATCTCCCGCGCGTACTTTGCCATGCGTACTTTGCCACGCGGAGGGAGGGGGTGTAGATGCTCGTGCACGCGCATGCTTATCCTGCGGTGGAAGAAAACGTGCGCCTTAGGCTTTCTATGGAACGATCGTGTCATATTTGCCGGGCGCTCAAAGTTCGCTCCACTCTCTGCACAGTCCCCGTTTGCGAAAAGAGCGCGCTTTTTATAAACAGCGAAGTAACAAGTGGGAGATTTGTTAGCTTGCACTCATCTGTACCTGTCATTACGTTTCTTGCGCCATTTTCGTTCAAACAGCGTGCTAAGTGTGAATCTGTAAAAGTTGTTAGTTCACTGCCGCCTGTGTGTGTTTTTTCGTGTGTCATTTGTGCGTGAGCAGAGCGCTGCACGTTTAGATCTGCTTGCCGTTCTCTGTGTTACATTCTAAGTTGTTGCTATCGCATTCATTGCTTTGCCTCTGCGGCGAAGCAATGAAGCCACATCGTCTCTTTAACGTTTTCACATACTAGCTCTGCTATATCCCTGACTTCATTGGCGCATGAGGTAGTATCTCTGTGCCTATAAGTATTTCTGTAGGCCCAATATAGACAACGGCGTGAAAATTTATCACAATATGGGAAGCAAACAGGCTAATGTTGACTCAGTGTGCCATCTGCATATCTATTTTGTGTGCTTTCTTGCTAGATAACTTCGGGTTTGTGCTCAGAACTTGCTCAAGAGCAAACGCCATGATAGCAAGTTGGGCGCTTTACAGACAAGCGAATGAGTGCTTTGTATATCACTAGCGTTTAACAATTAAAAGCAAATATTTAGCAATATAATCGGGTATTTGGTGGGACTTTATGCTATTTTCCCAACAAATTCAGCTGTGATGAACCTTTTTGCAAAATTTCTCACGCGGGCTTTCTGGTCTGATGTACTACAGATGGTGCATTTCCTGCGCGACTGGAGCATTAGCTTTCCGTTTCACCTACACTGAGGCCCTTAATTAAATATTCATGCCACAAAACTGCGTGGCTTTTTTTCAAGTAAAAAACTGCTTTGTAATTATTTGTTTCACTCTGAAACCTTTAAATTTAAACAACTGCCTCCAAGTTAATAGATAGTATGCGAGTTAACGAGTCCCAGCTCATTGCGTAGCTCAGTATCAATTCAGGCGAAAAAAAAGCTTTCTTGCTTCAGCTCAGACTTCGCAGCGTCGTTTGTGTGAAGAAATGATGTAAGTGAAGTCTTCATGGACTCTGGAATGTAACACCCTCGTGTTATAACGGCGAGAAGGAGACAATGAATCATGAACGATATATTAGAAAAAGAAAAGAAATCAGCCTAACGCAAGAAACAAAACAGGAGGCTACAAAAATTACATGTGGCTTAGCTTGGATGTGCCAGGATATACGCAGCAGGAACTACGGACCGGCGAACGAGCCATAAGCGAACGGATGGATGGAACGTGGATGGGTGGATGAACAAAAGACGGATGGACGCATGAACGAACACAGATGAACGAACGGACGCATGGCTGGACGGATGGACGGACGAACGAACGAACGAACGAACGAATGAACGAACGAATGAACGAACGAACGAACATAAATTGATGGATGGACGGAGGAACTACGGACTGACAGAGAGATGGATGAACCGCTGGTGCACGAGCGGACGGACAAACCACGGATAGAAGAACGCATGGATGGACGATTGGGTGGAAAAACAGGGATGGACAGACCAATGGATCAACAAACGCCGATGGACGAATCATGGATGTTTAGACCGACTACTGAGCGAGCAATCTCACTCGAGTCAAGCGCCAGCTCGCTGTTGACACGCTACTTGAGGAGCTTCCAGGCCTTCTCTTATGCACCGCGTGACGTCATTGCTGCTCATGCTTACGAAGGGCTGCTCACCGTAAGCCACGGGAACTTCACAACCTGGGTCAATGAAGCTTGCATTACGAAATTTCTTAATTACTCAAATACGACAGGAATTCGACCAAGAAAAAGGACATAGGCACAAAAATAGAACACCAAAGCAAAAAACCTACATGAAAGCAGTATAAGCACAAGGTAAACACAGGGGGAATCAACGCTGTTTGGATTTTAAGAGCTTGAATATGGCGATGAACCGTGTTCTTACAAAAAAACCATGAGGTAGATAGAAAACAAATCCTGCAGCTGAATTCCTTCTGGTAGAATATTAGAAAAATTGGCCTTTTTGTCTGTTTTAGAAACTCGGGCTACTTGCCCACGTAAGCTTTAAGAGTGAGTGATTATGATGCGAACAAGGAAGAGAGATATGACCTGAAGTACAAGAATTGCTGTGGGTGGAAGGACGTGGCATGTCAGTGAACGCTGTCATTGCTATCGGTGAGTGTCCAGCAGTTGATCTGCATTTATGTGCTTCAGCGAAAAAATACAGCGTTGTCCTTGCCTACAGTGTGTCACGTGGTGTCGTGGCGATGACCTCGCTTGACGTACAAACTTAGGTGCAACAGACACTGCCGTCATGTTATGGCTAATGTTAAACATGGGACCTGCAAGTAGCGTCCTAATTATACACGCGGCAATATGTCCATTGAAAACCCAGAGAGCATGTCAACAACTGCGCAGCAAGATATGCCCTAAAAAGCTTATTATCAGTCCTTAAAACAATGATCCCCCTGAAAGCTTCGCTCAAAACGACCATTGTCTGCGGCGTGCTACATACATATCTTCATCTCTTCTAGGTTGTATTCAAGGATGCACACAACGGTCATTTGTGAAAATAGGTCTCTATGTATCTCTGACGTGTACAGCTAGTATTCTAGAGCGTATTGGTAATACTGCTGGTCTACTCGAACTATTTTTGGTACGCTCCACGCTGTTAGTCTTTGCCTTACAGTTAGAAATTTGACTTGATTGCCAAGTTAGGATGGTGACGATCATGCAATATGTCAGCGGCATCGTGCAGCAGCCTGAACACAAAGCTTGGGCAAATTTCATCGAGACAAGAGGTTTTATATCGAGCCAAGCCAAAGATAAGTGCACACTTGAAATAAACTGGCAAAAAACACGAAAACGTTATGGCCACTCCATGATGTCTCACGTGCAATGTTTTACGGGACGATTTATTGGCTTTTATCTCAGAATTTTACCATCTTTAACAGCGAAACGACGGATACCTTTGGCATGCCTTCTTGCAACATTAGTCAAATTATTTTCAGTCGAGTTGTCGAAGTGGGGTGGCCTTAGGAGGAGCTATAAAGTATGCATACCTCACTGCGGAAACTAGTAAATTTCATGAAATCATTTCGTTAATGCTCAGGTCATTTTAAATCTGAACATTTTTGTTAAAAAACTTTGTGTTCTTTGCCACCAAGGCAATCTTTCATTCGGTAAAACGCAGGTATAGAAAATGGATGAATGAATGCTATTAGCGTCTTCTTAATAACGGGGCGTCGACATGTGTGCCACTAGGCTCACAGAAAAAAAACCCGAAATATTTCTTTTTTGCGAGCCTAGTGTTTTATCTTCTTCGAATGAATTGATCTTAATGTAAGAAAGAAAAATATATATTTGTGTTCCCTGTCCTCGCTTCCTCGGGTAGAATGACCTCCTTTTCCCACTATTTCTCTCCTTTATCTCTACGTGTGTGCCACCAATACTGTAACCGTCATTTAGTTGCTTCTATCGCGGACGTGTTCAGATTTCAATGTTTGTCCCTGAAACTCAAAGCCTCATGTAGGCTTGTACCAGAACGTATAACTGGGTGGATATTGCCGCAACAAGTCAGAACAGGTTCCATCGTTACCTCCCCCTCACCATGTACGTTGTTCCTCTTCATTGTATCTCGCATTACGACTACGCATTCTAAGGCAACCCGAGCTCGTTCCGAACAGTAAAGTGCTTCTACTTGAATTATCATAAAGCCTCTCTCTCCTTATTACGATTTTGCCCTTTCGGTGATTACTGAGAGCTGGCTTCTTCCCCCCCCCCAAAAAATGTCACGTAATGATGATCCTAGACCTCAAACAAGAATTCCATGTCTCTGTTTTGTTGCCCAAAATATCTTGGCTCATACCCACAAGGGGGCTGGGCACAACTTCCTGTTTATTCTACTGCTCAAGCCTATCCTCCTCTTCCTTCTGTTCCATATCTTCTTCAAGTTGTCGCACCTCCACAATCATCAGAAATAACCACAAAGAGTGATGCGCGTCGTGAGTCTGTAATTTTACTGGCCGCATAGCGCAAAAACGCAGCCAAGTTTGATTCGAACTTGGAGTGTTAGCAACGATATTGAACTTTGTATGTATACCCCCCTGCAGTAATGAAACTATGGTGTTGCAGGAACTCTGTAAATAAAATAAATAACTAAACGGAGCCGAAGTTTTAGCCCTCGGCGTATCTTACCTTAGAAAACGGTGTCTGTAAAAGCAGGCTTGCTTGGAAAAAAAAAAAAAAACGTTATGTCGTGTTTATAAAACCAAAGCATAATTTACGAGGCCCGTTGGGCTTCCAACGTGTACGATTTTTATTTCCTCCTGTGAAGACTTAGTAGAATGAATGAATTTCTTCTGGAGCCTTGTTCGTCACAGTCGAGGTTACAACAAAAGATGTCTCCAAAGTTGGATATTTCTGTACAGATATTATCACAAAGAACTTCTCCCTTCGTCCCCGTCCTTTTATGGTAGGTCGAGGTCCTTCCATAAACTCATAACATCCGAACCTTTAGTTTTTACGGCAATCCACGTTTTCATACCCTGTATCTGCTCGTTCGTGAAGTGAGCTTTCCAATCACCAACGATGCCTTTACGAATGAACCCTTCACTTTCATGTAAAGGCTCGTCGTCGTGACCTATAATTTTCCTGTAAACCTCCATTGACTTGATAGCCCTGTCAGGGCTCAAGTTCAGCATATCTTTCACGAGACTAGGCATTTGCTCGTTGAAGACACCTTGCATATTCTTCAAGCTTGAAGCGTCGATAACTTTGCGCAGTAAGTCAGGATCCTCGCGGAGCTTCATCCCGTACTGCTCGCCCATGAAGTTGGCTATCTTCAGTGTCCATAGAACAGTGTCCTTCTTCATATCCTCGTAGGTGAAGAACAGGACGTTTGGATCGTTCCGGTGCTCGTACCAGGAGAGCAAGTGGTCGAAGTAGTCGCCGCACGACAGCTTGCCGGCGATAAATAGTTTGCAGAACCTGTCGAAGGAGGCGTCGTATTTCTGGGCAGTCATGCCTTTCATGTGATAATAGAAAGAAACGCAAACGTCGTATGGATTTCGCGTGACGTAGATGTACTTCGCTTGAGGCGAGTACGGCTGTAGGTTGAACGGCAGGTGTGTCTTCAGCAAGCCTGGCCTGACCATCCTGTCCGCCGATTCAGCGCCCATCATTTCCATGAAAGGAGATGCTAGCATGAAGTCCACAGCTGTTCGCGGTGGATGACCATCTGTGAGTATACTGAGGATGAGATACTGTGTCCAAGTCGTGCCGCACTTTGGGTACGTAGCGAGGAATAAGTCATCCTCTCGTGGTTTGTAAGTTAATGCGGATCGAACCAGGTCTTCATGAAAGAAATCGTGGATCCACAGGCCGTCCACGTCTCGGCATGCCGCAAAATCCATGGTTCAAGTGTTTCCAAACCTCCTTGCTCAGACGTTATAGCGAAACCTGCAAAGAGAACAACACGATTAGTTTAGTCTGGCGCGGTGAACAAAAGCACTGAATACAATATGTTCGAAGGAAGCCCAACAACATGCAGAAAATAAACGCTCTTAAAATTTATTTGAAGTGTTTCCATTATCAAGCGTTTTGCTATGGCCACTGTCGTGCTTCACTGGTATGTAGTGAGGCAAACGCCTTACACAAAATTTGCAGCAAGAGCGCTAAGAATTTACCACTGTGCGCTAAATTTTAGTTAGTAATCCCACATCACAAGTAGGAGTAATACATAATGTGGGAATACATGGTGCCGAAATGCTGATGTGCAAATCACGTCATCTTTGAATTCTTTCTGAGTCTATTTTAATTGAGCTTCCAATGTCTGTTTTTTGCGGTGCTTTTTCAGTATAGTCAAGATTAGCCTCTGCATAAATCTCCATTGCCGGACGCCTATTACTGCCGCACAGTTTATTAAAACCTTGCTCTGTTGAACAATAGCAGTAAAATGAAGCAGTAATAAAGAAAGATAGTAATAATACACAGCAATACCTGAACTACGTAAGGTTTTACTTTCAGACGGATAAGACGCCCATCATCTTCATCCATTGATGTTATTGACTGCTGAGCTTCTGTGCCAGTTCGGAGTCAAATATCGGACACAGAAACGAGGATTTTTCAGCAGCTCGGAGAGGGACTCAATATTACCGGGCGTGCCCCTCCACAGGAACTGCAGTACCCGAAGTTGTGATGGAAGACATTTCAGAATGAAGGTGGCATAAGACTAAAAAGGATGTTCAAACTTCTAGCAGAAAACTTCAGCACTTCACTGCCACAATAGTTGACAAACAAAGGCTTTTGGGAACGTGGCATATATTTGTTAAACGAGTTACAGCAGAACACGAAATGATTTCTATAAGTGCAGGCACGTTATGCGAACACGACGGCTGAAATTCGGCCTCGCGTGAAGGCGCTCTCAAAAGTGGCCCCAGCATCTTCCCACGGGGCGAACTTGAGCAAATGCGTCGCAGAACGGTTGGGGTATCGGGTGAAGGTTGCGTAATTGGTTGTGGTTTGGGAATTCCTAATTGTTAGTTCATTTTATTATTCCTATTTATTGAACGAAGGAGCAACGTTGCATTATATGAGTGGTGGGACACTGATGTTGCGTTGTGCCCCACCACTGGTTAAGGTATAGTGTTGCTTCCATCGCCACTACTCGAGTCAACCAACGCATAGACGCCCTCGATTGAACCGCCAAAGCACGATCCAGTGCCTACGAGTGTGGAGTGGGTTGTGAATGGTTGTGCAGTGCGAGCAGTTGGTTTTTACTAGGAGGCGCTTCCTGCGTCGGCTTTGCAGGAGCAAGGCGGGCAGGGGAAGTGACAGTTGGCAACACGTGAGCATGCGCAACGAAGGTGTCGACGACACCTCCGAAGCAGGTTTTCCGACTAGGTGCGACTGTCAAATGCTCCGCACTTAAAAGCGCGTTACATTGTTCAATTCAATTTTAAAGATATAGCCTTTTTTAAGATACCTCGAATCAGAAATTTTGGTGTGTGTGTGTGCGTGTGTGTGCGTGTGTGTGCGTGTGTGTGCGTGTGTGTGCGTGCGTGTGTGTGTGTGTGTGTGTGTGTGTGTGTGTGTGTGTGTGTGTGTGTGTGTGTGCGTGTGTGTGCGTGTGCGTGCGTGTGTGTGTGTGTGTGTGGTGTGTGTGTGCGTGTGTGTGTGTGTGTGTGTGTGTGTGTGTGTGTGTGTGTGTGTGTGTGTGTGTGTTTATTTCTTTCTCTCTCTCGAATAAGAAATTTCGGTGTGTGTGTGTGTGTGTGTCTTTTGTGCTTTTCTGTTAGTCACCTGATCAAGTAGAATGACCAATGGCAAAGCGACCAGCAATCTTGGTCTGGTTCCTGCGTTCTTACGTGCTGACGTTGTCCACAAAAAACAAGTATCACGCATATTTTGGCGCAGTATCAGTACAAGTTCATTAAGTAGTATTATTTCTAAAATGCATAACTACGTAATTTTAAAGACTGCAGAGCTTATTACGCGGCGCTGGAAAAACGACGCTATGACCGAAAAAGTGGGCGTTTCCTACTTTTCATTAAAACTGCATGGCGTGGCCGCCTACCAGTGACTGTGTTCTAGAAAAAATCAGTTTCTTCAAGTTATTACTTGATGGCATTCGTTTCTCACGCACCGCCTACTCGCCAATTTAATCAGGCAAAACATCGAATATACGCTTTATTATTTTTCTCCAGACAAAACCCTGTCCTGTTTTGACGACTTTTGCCATTGAAGCACTCAGATACGCCGCCATTTCTTTTAGTGTGGACAGCTTGCCCATAGCGTTGTGAACGGTGAGTACATAATTGAAATTTTCAACAAAAGGTCTCTAAATGGAAGGGTCACAGTTATCACAGTCTAGTGGTATGAACACGAAGGCTATGCTAGAGTATTTCTTCAGAGCACTATACCACACGCTCGGAGAAGTATAAAAAGTATTAAAAAACATACAACCGTAGGCATGCTATACCGTGGAAAGAGCATATAATACATAGCGCTTTTTTACACTGCGAATGAATGCATGCCACAAGACGGTGTCACCCGTTTTATCATTCAAGGCACATAGGAAGTTAGATGTTTTATAGAAAAGTATCCTATGTAGTTATAAGCTGTTCTTAAATTAAGAAACATGGAATGACACCTTAGCACTTTGGTTTTCACAAGGTGCCATCCTTAAACTCTGCATTTGGCATCTTGGTTTTAGTTCAAAGCTTTTTTTTGTTTTATTGAGCCTTACAATCAAGGTATTTGAATATATATATTTAACAAATATTTTTGTGCTTTATTTTCGAAGAAATGTATAATCATAATATTTTAAACAAAAACGATTCTTCACAATATTTGTTACAGCTTCAAGAATACTGTAAAACTTATTAGTGATAAACTAGTGAAATGAGCGGTTTGAAATCGTAAGAGTAGTCCAATATTTTTTTTTCAGATACGTGAACTTTTTATAATGTGTAGATTTAGCAACTTTATACTTGAACAATTTATTTTAAGTAATTTTAAACGCAGTGTAGTATTATTCGCATGCTGTCTCAGGGTCTGGGACAGTCTGAAGATATTTTGTAATGAAAAATCATGTATCTTTATCGGGTTTTTGTGTGCTGATACGTACCGAAGAGCCGAAGAAATATAACCTATTTTCGTTCTCACGATGCCTGAAAAAGTCTCAGATCAAAGAAGAGGATGTGATTAGCTGCTTGTATCTCGGTAGGTAGGTAGAGACCAAGGTAAATATAAATGCTTGCCTGTATGTTTGTTCCTTAATCGTCACTTGTTCTTTCGAAAAATTCGTGGGCAATAGGAACACTTATAGTTTTGAGTCTAATACAGTTTCGCACATTTAAGCCACACACAGTTATTGCCGCCTGTGTCATAAATGATGCACTAAAAGAGTTGAATTAAGATGATGGCACTTGGTTGTCAAGCCATGCAAGAAAAAGCATGTGCGCCCCTGCGTGCGTGCTCTGCATGGCAAAGTGTGCTAGGAGACAATCCACAACAGATATGCCCGCATACGCAATGAAGAAACAGCTCGTACCCAAATAGAGTCAAGTGAATTACTCTGCCGGTGTTACGAAGTGGCCCGAAAAGACACGTTGGTAAGTTGCTAGCGCCTTCTCGAGATGCACGTGCCCTGTTCTAAAAAAGAAGAGGACGACGTGGAAGCAGAGTCTCACGCGCAGTTAGGCAGTGTGGCATTCTGTAGCCCGTGTGGAATGCGCGTTTCTTCAAAGTTGAAATACATGATCTTTCTTTCACAACGTCTCGTGTGCTTCTAGCAAGCCCCTGAAGACAACAGACAGCACAGGCCCGCTAGAGAAAAACTCGCTAGTTCTTTGGGAATTGTGAGTAAGCGCGAACAGACAAGAACGTAGAAGAGAACTGACACGGACAGAGCGCTCTATGTCAGTTCTCTTCTATGTTTTTGTCTGTTCGCTTACTCACGCTCCTTAGATGCAAAACAACTATCCCACTAACGTGTATTAGCCGTATTTTTCTGTCTAATAAAAACCTTCATGGGTGCCCTTTTAGGGCACACCGTATACTTGGTGTGGACACTAAAAGATGCTTATAATAGAACACACCTGATACAATATAGATCGACGTGTTTGATATGGTGTTAAAAATTATTTACGGGAAACCTGGGTTGCATATGACGCTGATAATAATGCAGGAACCATGTGCAGGCAGTGAAGGCATTCGTTCTTTTTTTTTCTATAAGCTCAGGTGGCGCTTTCGTAATTCTTGCAAGGCTGGTCAAATTGAAAATTTTTTGTGCCTCACAAAACGCTGCTAGGATTAAAAGTGGAACTTTTTGTTGGTGCCTATTATGTGGAGCTGAAATGTGGAAGAATAAAAGAACAGAGAAGACACTGGTTCTGACTTCGAATTCAATGCCTTCATCGCACAAAGAGAAACTGCATAGGATCACTACAGTGGTCGATGACTAATATGCCCACGTATCCGTACACTGCATTACACTACCACAGGTTTTCCTCAGGCTATGTCGCTTCGAAAGGCAGTATGCAAGTACAAGGAAAGTTGGTTTATCGTCAGAAAAAATGGTTGCAGTGCGAATGTGAGACCAGCCCGATATAAACCACAAAGAATATACACGCAGGTACACTGAGACGCGATTCAGATAAGGTTACCCGTCTTATTGCAGAACTTGAGTGTATAGACGCACTCGGTGATGTATGCTATAGCATGTCCTTCTTATCATGGCTAACTACAATTTGTTTTTTTTTCTACACGAACGCTGGACATCTGCTACGTTGCGTTACCACTTGTTTTGATGATGTTTAAAAACAGGTATTCTTCGTGCATGTGGCTCAGTGCCACCACGGCATCCTTGTTCCCTGTCGCGCCTGCGGTATACGTATATAGACTCATTGGGTCTTCAAGAACTGTGTTTTTTTTTTTTCTGGTGGCGCTGCGTAGTGCCTTTTTTGTGCTTTTGTGAAGTTTCCAGTTATCCCTTACGCTTGTAACATGCAGACGACTCCCATATATCTAGAGAACCCTTCAGTGTCGTTTACAGCACTCGATGGTTGGGCAACACACGTATCCACATGCTGGCTTGCAATACGCGCTATCTCTAAAGCTATTCTTAGTGCATGCTAGTATGCGTACGAGGAAAAAAAATGAAGGGGGGGGGTGCCTACGCAACGAACACTTTTATGCAATGCGAGTGATGCTTGCAATAAAACACTTCTTACCTGGCACACGGTGCGTCGAGAAACGGAAACGGTGTGATTTAGAAGATTCAGACGACCGCTCAAACAACTGCGGCGAAAAGACGTTACACCTCCAGGCGCCTGGCGGAGCCACCTCGCACTCGGCGTGAAGGAAACAATTACAGGGCGTGTTAACTCAGGCGAAGGCTTCGGCGAGTGCTGCGAGGGGATCGCGTTCACGTGACTGCACACAGAGGAAAGGCTGACCGGGAAATGAGTACGAAGGTTATCCGGCGCCACTCGAGGACGCGCGCCAAGAACGACGGCTAGTGTCACAATCACTTGACTCGCGTTGCCCGCCGGCTTCCTTCAAAGCCGGGCAGATTGCGCCCTCTTGCTTGACTGAATGACCGCTTAATAATGGGCGCAGCACAGTACACGTACAATCACAGACGTTGCCACATTAGTCCATGGTGCACTTTTACGTCACGCGTTGAAGGGTTTGTAGCGATGTAGGACTGCATGCTTCAATGTAGGACTGCACGCGATAGGAGAGCGAAGCTTTATAAGCCGGTCGTGAAAGCTTTGGGGTGTACGATGTGTACAAAAAAACTGTCATCCTCGTGAATATGACATGCAGTCTCTTCGTTGTTTATAGCTAAGTATAGGTTATAGCTAAGTAGTGCTCTGTCATGGAATCGATTGATTGATTGATTGATCTGTGGGGTTTAACGTCCCAAAACCACCATATGATTATTACAGAAGCCGTAGTGGAGGGCTCCGGGAATTGAAGAACCTGGGGTACTTTAACATGCACCCAAATCTGAGCATACGGTTTGAGCATACGCGTACAACATTTCCGCCTCCACCAGAAATGCAGCCGCCGCAGCCGGGATGCTTCGTCATGGAAAGCTTCCGAAGTCCCTATGTGCCACAGTAATCGGGGAATCCCCATTACCGCGTACAGCAGGTAGGAGCGTAAAGAAAACTCTGCTCGACGAAGTAGAACATATGAAGCGCGTGAAAGTCACAGAGAGAAAGAAGGACGAGCGAAAGAGAAAGAAAGTGATGGAAGCAAAAAGGAAACACAAAGAAAACATGGCATCACATAAAAAGTGAGCTCATCAAGAGAACTTATTTTCTGATGAATCGACTGTTGCAATATTTGTTTAAAATCCGTCAAGTAAAAGGCGAGTTAGTGCTCCTTCACACATCTCTCAAACGCCCTATCCTGTCCCCGTTCTGGCACTATTTCTTGTCATGGGAGAAGCTTTCTCAGGTGTTTTGCGCAAGTTCGAAAATAGGTCGACAGTGAAGTAGAGCGATGCTCTACGTTTTCCTCGCAGTCACAACGACGGAGCCCTGCTCCAAAAAGACGGACCAATCAGAAATTAAGTATCCAACCGTTAAATATGCCGCTTTTATGAAGCAAAAGCTGGCAACAGTGGCGCCTGCGCAAAAGTCACAGTTGTATCCGGATCCAAAACAGTTATTGCCTTTTTATCATCCTTGGGTTGCGTTCAAACTCGAGACAGCAACGTGACAGTCTGCGCTGACAGGTCAGAAGACTGCATCGAGCCCATGTTCCCTGAGAAATGAAACGCCTCTGGAAGACGTCTACGCGACGTGACGCCACCACGCATCAAGAAAAGAAAGCTATGAAAAGCAGACGTTACCCTTTTTTTTTCTACTCCTCTTGCCTTCAAGTCTACGAATAATTAAACCTCGCTCACAGTAAGCGTTGGAAAAACGTCTCTTTGTGCGCAGAGGAGCAATACGTTAGACGTGAGCTATCCGAAAACTTCGCTGAGCTGCCATCTTGATTGGATAACAGAGTACCATGCATCGTTTTTGTCTCTGAATCCGTCATCTGAAGCTGTCTATTTCGCCGGCTTCGTGACAATTGTAATGATAATTACGTGGGCCACCACACCACCAAACTCTTAGCTTTTTATTCAGCTTTCAATGGCGGGTTTACACTATTTCGCCCAAGACCTAAGGGTGACGCAATCTTGGTCTCTTAAACGTATCTTTTCTTGTTTTTTTGTATATTGTGACGAGAATCATCAAGACCATGAAGAACCACACGCACCAACCCAACTTTCTTCATGCTATGAGTCCAGCTTAACTCTTCTTTTAGCTGTTAAATATACAAGACAGAATGATGAACAGTCAAATATGACGGCGCGCAAACCTATTTGTAAAATAATCTATTGGAACACCCGTATTGAGCAAGACAAAGAACAAAGGGGCATTATGTCACACTGGTAAAGCCATGTGTAATCTATCATATAGGGCAAACCAATGATCAAAATGTCAGACCGGGAGGTAGTTTTCAGTACCCTTGGTGGTGTTTCCGCTCTGCACCAAACAAGCGAACTATAAATTTGTTTTATGAAGGCTGTTTGTTGGCCTAGAGGTACGTGCTTGATTGCTTATTGCCATATTATAGCCGCGTTTTACTTGGCTTGGTCAGCACTTGCATTAACAAGTAGCAAGAAATTATCAACTAAGCCAAGAAATAGCCTTGATACAACGTATTTCTAGTGCGACTGGCCTGTCTTTGTGTTTGTCTTCTCAGAGCTTGCTACCTAGCGTCGATAAGACAGCGTATCTCGGTGAACCCAGCGTTTTGGCAACTAAAGTATTCTTTAGTGCAGAAGATGTCTCGATTACGGTTTGCTGTCATAATGAAAAGAAAGAAATTTTTTGGTTCTACTGTTGGATATGAAACATCGGCGCTCAGACTTCTCACCACTCCAAATTTTCTGTTGATTCAATGTTCATTTGAAGAAAGACGAAAGAAATGCTTATACACTAGCGACCTAGTTTTTTGAAAAAAAGTACTTTTTTTATTTTGTAGCAACAACAACCATGGCATCTTTATTCAGGATAAACGACAAGCACTTCATTTTAATGCTCAAACTTCACCTAAATTTCATGAAACGGGTGGATTAAATTTTCACAACGGAAGGTCAAGACCCTTCCAAAGGTTTCGAACTTCTGGATTCATAGCTGTCTTCTCTGCTATCCAACGTTTCATGCGTTCAATATGCTCCGGGGAAAAGGTGGTTCTTCCAATCTCCTACGACACCCTTTCGGACAAGACCTCCTCCACGTAGCGTTTCTTCCTTGTGGGCTGGATTGTGCCGGTACGATTCCATAGACGCTATGCGTCGCTCTGGTGGCAATTCCAGAGCTTTGCGAATCCATACTTTAGTCGGATCCGCCATCACCTGTTTTCATGTTCTGCACGGTACAAGAGTCGAGGAACTTTCTTCAGCAACCCTTCGTCGTTTCCTGAGAGTGCCTGCCGTACTTTTCTCCCAAGAAGTCATGCGATCCGCAGTACCCAATGAGTCGTGTCCTCCTGTAGTTTCTCGTAAGTTATGAAGAGCATGTTAGGATCGTTTCGATGCTGGGTACCAGGAGAGAAGGTGGTCAAAGTAGTCCCCGTAGAGTACTTTCCCAGATATGAAGAGGTCGAAGAACTTATCGAAGGACACATCTTCGCAATTACTCGATGTGTAGTATTTCATGAAGTGGTAGTAGGACACGCAGCAGTCATACGGGTTTCTCGTAACGTAGATGTACTTGGCTTTCGTAGAGTACTTGCACTTGTCGCACGGCAGGTGCGTCATCAGGGCTCCAGGGCGCGGCATCTTGCGCACGGCGTCGACACCCGTGAGCTCAATGATGGGCGAGGAGAGCATGAAGTCGACGGTCGTCTTGGGAGGGTTACCACGAGTGAAGATGTTTGACACAATGTACTGCGTCCACGTGGTGCCGCACTTCGGATAAGTGGCGATGATAACGTCGTCGTCCTGTGGTTCGTAGGCCCATGGCGAATCGAACGTTGGTTTCATCGAAAAACTTGAGCATGCGCAGGCCATCAACGTCTCTATAGGAGTCTGGATCCATTATCTTCTTTCGGTGTTGCTGTTCTAGATGAGACTGCAACGACAAAAAAGATTGAAAGGAAAGTTGAAGAACGTGTATACACTAACACATCACATTGAAATCTATCAGAGTGCGTGCTGAAATTGTTGTGCATGTAAGTGAAATGCAGAACATTTAACCGTTTCTTCTTACTTCATATAAATATTTTTACCCACCATCACAACATATTTGGTAAATGTGCATATTACAAGCACTTTTCTCATATATCATAACGTTTACAATGTGCTAAAAGAAATATGTAACGTATGCATAGACTGACATTTACTCAGGTACTTATGTCGTTCGGCCTGTGTAAATATTGAAGAAAATAATGAAATTATCAGCTTTAACGACTCCAGCTACTGGACGACAATAATTGACTTGACTTATATGTGTAATCTTAAAAGTTATAGAAAGTTTCCTGAAACTGAGCTCGGAGATTGCGAGAGGTTTGTTTTATGTAAAAATATTTTGTTACGTACAAAGGCATGAATATTTGACTGACTCATGCATCCGCCGATGGAGGCGGAAATGTTGTAGGCCCGTGTACTCAGATTTGGGTGCACGTTAAAGAACCCCAGGTGGTCGAAATTTCCGGAGCCCTCCACTACGGCGTCTCTCATAATCATGAAGTGGTTTTGGGACGTTAAACCCCACATATCAATCAATCAATGACTCATGCATCCGCTGTTGAAATGACAATCTGACCCGTGTAAGATATAGGCAGGACACTATAGCACACCATACCTATCTGCCGATGTCAGAATCATATTGTGCTCATGGCTCGTAAATATCCATATAATAATATAATTATAGGCGTTGCCTTTACGGCTTTCAAAACAAACACCAGGCCTGCGCTGAAGGCACAGCACAGTTACTACGAAAGTTAGAAAAGCATCCTTTCAGAGCCTTTTCTAAACACTCACAGAACAACTGCTGCAAGCACACTTGCTGGGTGCCCACTACGGCATTAATAATAATAATATTTTTGGGGTAGTGGGCCGGCATTCACTATGCTATCCTTCGTCTTTCTTCTAAAAAGCGCAGTATCCGCTAAACACTTGCAAAGAATTTTGTGACAATTGTTCATGCAGTGGTTGATGACGATAAGGAATTATGCCTGAAGTGGGTATGCGCCACAGTTAATAGGTAAACAAGAACCAGCTTTTGTGATGGGTTGCAGAATTGGACGACCCACTCATTACAATATCCGCATTTTGCGACGACTGCGTTTCTTTCGGTGTTTTGAAATGCTTTATAAGTCATATTAATGCGATTGATTTCCAAACACCAAGCATGCCTAAGACAAGTTTGCTAAGCAGTGCCAAGCACCGGCTTAGCTCAGTGGTATAATACTGAGCTGGAACTCGGGTTCGGGTCCTTCTGCGTCCTTGCAATTATGTTTTCTTTTTTTTAATTCTGTAATAGCGGTTACCGGCGCCGGCGGCGGCAAACAACAACAGCGCCGCGCGTGCCCCGACTTTCAATCTCACAACAGCTTTCGGCGTAAAAAAACTGGGAAAACAGTGCCTACGCAGCAACGCAGCTGTTAACAACGAACGAGATTGTGATCAGATTCATAGCAGACGTGGCATATCACGCAACGCAGGTGTGTACAAATTCAGGATTTTTTTAGGTTCTGATAATTGAAAGTAATGATTATCAATCAGTTATCAAAAGCAGCAGATGTCATCTAACACACGAAATGGCTGGCAGACAAGTGTATCACCGCCGGTTGCCCCTTTCTCTAAGATAGGTGACTTTGCAGTGCTTGTAATGACGATGATTGAAAAAAAATGGTACTGCCTATATGTATACAGCTCCCTGTTCTCAAATTAAACATTGTTGCTAGTTAGCGTCTGTGCGTATCACGCCTTTCTCTTTCCGTGTTTTCTCGTGTGCTATGAATCTAGGTTAGCACATTCTCTTGTCCGCCAGTCAGAAACTAGATGGGGCAAACGGCTCGGCACCTCAACGCAAGGCTCAGAAAGCGTAGTAAAAATGTTAGGAAAGGTGGCGATGCTTTGTTACCTGCGCATTGCGGCACGTGTAGTCTTTAGCGTCTCCTTCAAGCATTTGCCACTATTTTCAAGTATCATTATTCAATTAGTGAGTCCGCCACAGTACCTAAGTTAGGTCAATATTGCGTCACCATACCTTAGTTATCATTACCTAGAAAGAAATCCTCATTCTCTCACACCATCGTGTACGCGGATGTTGGAGTCCGTGATTAGTATTGACGTGTCTATGTTTTGATCCAGCTTCGAATAAGACATTGTTGAAAGTGGGCGATTGTGTATACGCGTATGCTTTTTTTTCTTTTCCCGCTAAAAAGTTGTGGGGCTCAAAGCTTAAAAGGTAAGCTGAGTTGCTGAGATCGCTGCATGCTGTTCACTGGTTACCTTAGTGTAGCGAGAAAGTGGATATAAGATGGCATGCAAAAAAACACATCGTACACGCGCTTGTCCATGTTTTCTGCGTTCTCGCCCAGTTCACGCACGACCATTTTTATTTGCAAGTATCAATCCACTCACCCGGCGGAAACACTTATCTCACTTATATAGAGCATGGTAGTGCTCAGATCACCAGTTCTCGAAGTGGATGCTCACAGCTTCTATTGTTACATCTGTTGGTAGTCAAATTCAATAAGTGCGTGAAATTGACTTCGTTGCCGTCGCGGAAACCTTCAGCGCCAGCGTTGCTGTTCATGTCATTCAGTGCCTCGCAGCGTGCTCCACTGAGCCGACTGCGCCACGAAAAGCTGCGTCAAGAGCGTGGCTATTGAGCTCTCCTAGCCCTGCATATTTAGAATAGGTTTCACACAAACACTGATGCTGTTGTGGAATGAGAGTGGCAGTGCGGCCGTCAGTGTGCGACCGACCATATGTGGGCGCAATTTAAAAATAATGTTATCCCAGTTCCGCTTGCATGATGTCACACTTCGGTACTTGCTTACCACGCAGCCGAAGGAGCTTCGACTGACCTCATGCACTGATGGTATCAAGACAATACAAACCAAGGTGCGTGATCATCAGGGAATACTATAGGTAAACACAAGTAGTGATAACGTATTGAAGATTTTCTCCCGACAGCACGTAACATTGAACCTGGATAAAGTATCGTACCCTGGTGGCTGTAAATCAGTCGACATCATTTTGTGCTTTTCTGAGTCTAATATTAAAATAATTATTTTACCTGTCATTTTCGTGCGTGCATCGCACAATACTCGTATATTTAGCAAAACAAAATCGTCAGAAGCGATAGCGCAAGTGCTGCACTGGCCAGCAGTTGCGAGATTTTTGAAGCCTCAAGTCAAGCTTTCGTTCGTGAACTAGCTACATCAGCCATCTTTTTCACTATCTCTGCACTCGTTTCTAATGGCAATATGGTACAATGTAGCAAACGCACATTACCACAGAATTTATGGGTGGCGGACATATCATTTTTAGCCCCCCCCCCTCTGTGTTTCATAATTTTTGCCCTTGGTACCATGAAGACCGGGCGCATCGATAGCGAAAGCACACACCCAAAGTAGGTGGTGAATTACGGAAACTTCAGACACCAAACATTACGGCGTGAAACGGAGTGAATGCCAAGCGAGCCGCTTCGCTGATTGAACGAAAATTGTGATACGTACATTCAGTAATGATACGGATAAACTTGCTGTGTGCCGTCGTTGTTGAAACCACCGTGCCGTGTAAGGCGACCGGATATATATTTCCCGTAAATTTGATGAGCTGCACAGCTGCACGTTCCCGTCACTATCCGAAGCCATATGGCAGCGGAAACGGCAAGCTGCACATCGGAAAGCTTGACACTCGTGTACCATTGCTGCCAAATATAACGACACGATGAGGAAGGCAAAGTGTCAAGGCCAGCTACGAATGATAATAACAGATGAGTTATAAAGGGCCGAAACCACGGTATGATTGGGAAGCGCACCGCCCTGGACGGCTCTGCAAAGTGTGACGACGTGGTCTTCTGTAATATTCACTGACATCACATGGCACACAGGCCTCCTGCCTTTCCCCGTCTTCAAAACGAGACTGCCACGCCTGAGACCGAAGCCGTGACCTCTGCGTCAGCAGACAAGCAGCGTAACCACTGTTTAACTAAGACCGATACTTATAGAGGAGGTCGCGTTTTTAGCATAATGCAAGGGTCGGCAACTTGATCCCCCAAAATGGCGCCAGAACTCCCCTCGCAGTAGTACTTTATATCTTATGGTTGGCGTGGCAGTTGTGACGTCAGCTGGCATTGAACAGAAACAAAGATGGTTTCCAGCTGGCACTGTACCTCGTGTTCACACTAACACAGGTGACGCCTTACGAGTATTCTCAATTGAGCTGTTTTATTGATTTTAAATGAATAATGATGTTTATTCATTCACAGCTGTCTATGCCTATTTATTATAGACTAAGAGAATTTGCCGATGCTCCGAGTTTTCGAACATTTCCGCTGCAAAGTCCCCCCGCTGCCCTCCAGCCCCTCGAATTTTCTGTGCAGCCTCTGTCGTGTGGGCGTTTGCAACATGGCCTTCCGTCTCGAAAGTTTGTCGACTACTGGCAGAATTCCATCAGTTTGTGGCTTCAGGTCTCGCACACTATAATACTTAGCCTTAACGGTACCGCCTTCAGGACAAATGATCACTTGAAAATAAGAAGTCCGATTTGAGTGCAGAACGTCATTATTTACGCCAACTAGCACCTTGAATTCTTCTCACAGTAACAAAACAACTAATCATCTTAGAACTGCCAGCATATCAACATTACTCAAATATCTTTGTTTTGTTATTTAACAATATGTTTTACTTAACAACACACTTCTGGCACTCCGGTAAGATTTAAACCGCACGTGTAACTTCCCAATACACCATGAGCGCTCAAAAGCAACCGATTCCTACCACAAAGAAGCCGTTTTTAAATTACCGGTCAATTAATGCAAGAACCCCCAGGCTTCCAAGTAAGATCCACACAAACAGCATAAATAACCAGCTCTAAACAAAAATATA